GAACACGAAGTGACTTATTGGAAATAGTGGATGATCTGGGTTTATTATTATTATTTATTATTATTCTCTAAACATCTACATATTTTTCAATTTAACAAGAAACAAATTTTTTTGAACAGTGTTAGTGCACAAAATAATGAAATAATATTATAAAAATAACATTATATTGCCGTTTTAGATGTGTCTTCGTAGTTTTCAGGGGAAAAACCCGGTTACAGACTTTTGAGCACCAACTTGTATGAAGCGGCCCCATTGTGCGGTGGTCCTTACCACTTTCCTCACGAATCTCCATTACTTTAAGAAAGACGTGCCCGCCTTATGTAAGAAGGTATTTAGAATGTACATTTGGTATCAGACATGCTTCTGAGTCGCTTTACAAAGTAATGGTGATGTCGTTTCTACCAAAAAATTAGCCTTTTGATTGCCCCTTTCTCTTCTCGTGTTCGATTCTAAACTAAATATTCGTTTCTTAAAATGTCACGCTTTTGTAAGGCAAAAAAGGCTCATTCTGTGCCCTTTGAAGCTTTGTCAGTGGGGGTGGAATACAGCCGCTGTGACTATCAGTTCACGGAAATTGACTTCAATCGAAACTTCGATATCCATTTTCCTGACAGAAGTGACAGGGAATTTAATGTTGCTCTCAGCGATGACGAAATACCAATCTTCACGGACGGCTCCAAAATGGATATCGGAACAAGATCTGGGGTCTTCTCTCAGGAGTTATCTCTGAGGGAATCGTATAGACTCCCAGACCACTGCAGTTTTTTCAGGCTTAGATATATGCAATCCATATGGCGGCAAGGTTGGTGGGCATAATTGACTTAGCTCCATCTAAACTTGCCTTCGTTGTTGACAGTCAGGCGGCTATCAAAGCCTTAGGGTATGCAACGACTAACTCGTTATGCGTTAAAGAATGCCGAAGATCCCCACAAGCTCTACAGCAACACATAATCAATCTTTACTGGGTACTGGGACATTGTGGTGCCCCGGGAAATGAGGAAGCGGGCGAATGTGCTAGGAAGGGATCTGAGATGGGGCTCGGGGAAGCGACCCAAATCGTGAAACCCCCCCTGCGATTTCTGACTTCAGAAGTCGAGAGACTGGCCGGGGCAGCTACCAACAGTAGGTGGGTAAACCTTCATACCTGCAGGGTATCGCGACCACTCTGGCCACGGCTCGATGAACGAAGAACAAGGAGTCTATTACGGCTTTCAAATTCAAACGTCAGGCTTCTCACAGGAATACTAACGGGACACTGGACCACTGGCCACATGGCCGCCAGGTTCGGAGCCCCGCATAATGATTTCTGTAGAAGCTGCAGGGATTAGGAGGAGTTAGAATCCGTCCAGCACTTCCTTTGCGAGTGTCCAGCACTTCGAGGAAAACGCCTCAAGTTTCTTGGGGACCACTTCTTCGAGAATCTGGATATCTCGGGGAAAGCTCCTCTGGAAGGACTGCTAGGATTCGACAGAAAATCAAAATGGTTCGAAGACATGTAGGGATAGGCTTGGGGTAACCCCCATGGGCATCACAGTGGGCCTCTGCGGCCTCCGAGTGAACTCTTTTTCAGAGCTGCCCGTTTAACCTAACCTAACCTAACCTTCCCACTGAAGCGGCGGGACTCGCAGGCGAGCGTGATCGAATCCGCCAGGCTAATCCAGGGGATCCCCGCATAAGAGATCTCAATAGAGACATTAGAAACCTGGTCAACGAACACAAGCGGAATACATGGAATGAGCATATAAAAACCTGCAACCTCTCAAGCGGAGCCAGCAAACTGTGATCCACAGTCAAGTCTCTCTCCAATCCGACGAAGCGTAGGGACAATGTCGCNGAAGCGGCGGGACTCGCAGGCGAGCGTGATCGAATCCGCCAGGCTAATCCAGGGGATCCCCGCATAAGAGATCTCAATAGAGACATTAGAAACCTGGTCAACGAACACAAGCGGAATACATGGAATGAGCATATAAAAACCTGCAACCTCTCAAGCGGAGCCAGCAAACTGTGATCCACAGTCAAGTCTCTCTCCAATCCGACGAAGCGTAGGGACAATGTCGCTCTCACCTTCGGCACCACCACCACGTCGGATCCGCGGTCGTGCGCGCGCTTCTTCAGCCTTCAATTCATTGCACACCCAGAGAGAAACAAAACCCGCCGCAGCGTGCTGCGTAAAGCACACAAACTCCGCCCCCGAGACACACCACTGTGCTTTACCACCGAAGAGACGCAGGCAGCTGTCANCGAAGCGTAGGGACAATGTCGCTCTCACCTTCGGCACCACCACCACGTCAGCCTTCAATTCATTGCACACCCAGAGAGAAACAAAACCCGCCGCGTGCTGCGTAAAGCACACAAACTCCGCCCCCGAGACACACCACTGTGCTTTACCACCGAAGAGACGCAGGCAGCTGTCAACCACGCCAAGTCATCCAAGGCGTTAGGACCAGACGGAATTTCCATGCAGATGCTGAAAAAGCTAGGACCTGCGGGAGTCGAGTATATGACCGCCGCTTTCAATTTGTCACTGTCCACCCTGATCATCCCCGAGATGTGGAAAATGGGTAGGATCATTTCCCTACTCAAGCCAGGGAAGAAGGCGGACGCAGGAGACTCGTACAGACCCATCTACCTCCTATCCCCAATGGCAAAAACCATGGAAGCACTACTCCTCCCCAGCCTGACGAAGCATCT